GGCAGGCCCCCGCGCCCCCGCGCCCCTCGCGCCCCCCGCGCCCCCGCGCCCGTGCTCCCCATCAGTCCCGGCAGAACAGCTCCTCTCCTCTGCGCTGCTTTTCTTGGAAGCAGAGGTCGTGGGGAAGAGACTGACCAGGTGCACGTGTGTGGGGCAGAGAGTCCTGTGAGCTCCAGAGAGTTCCTTGTGGTTGTTCCCGACCCTGGAGAAGGACCGCTTTCATTCCGGTCTAAAGGTCACATCCTTGCTCTGCCTTTCAGCTCAAACCCTGGTCCAGCCAAGGCCCCCAGTCTCATCTGAAATTAGGTAACGGGGCAGGGACCGGGGCTGGCGCTCCCCCTGGTGGCGGTCGTCAGAACCGCCCCGCGCCCCCAAACTGAGCTCACCTCCTGGATTAGGCTCTCAGAAGACCAAAAGCTTCTCGAAGGCAAGGCCCCTCCACCCGTTTACCACTCACAGAACTCTGCTAGAAGCTGGGGCACTTGGCATGGAACAAGGCATGGCGACCCTCTACAAGCACTTATCATCAAAGGGGGACCCGGGATGTGCACCCGGGAGTAGAGGACAGACATCGGAGCAGTATTTCGGAAGCACAGAGAAGGAACGCCCCATTCTGCACAATGGAACCCATCGGGAGAGGCTGCAAAGGAGGAGCAGCTCTTGGTCCTGACCTAAGGAACGAGGCTGCTTCAACAGGTGGTTCCTCGGCCGTTGTGGGTGGGGGGTGAGGCCACCCGGACCTAAAAAACCGCGGGAGGGATGGAGTCATCTTGGGCAGTGGTGGAGGTGCGATGGGGAGAGGGCAGGTGGCTTTTCCCATCTGCTGGATCCCCTAGCATCTGTACTTTTGAAAATTGTCTCTAAAAGTCTAAGCGATGCCTGGGTACTTAACAGAAGTACAGAGTTTTAAAATGTTCCCAAAAAACCACAGATGAAAAATGAAACAGGAGTAAGATGCACAGAGATAAACACTAACTTTTTTCCCCAAAGTTTCACTTCCCGTTTGCTTTGTTAATAATCCCTAATGAAGACGGTGGCTGATAGTTAAATGAGTGGGTGTAAAACTGGAAACCAAAGGCCACCACAGGCCTGGTTCACTGAGCTGATCGCGTCACTGACCCACACCAAGCACACGTTCCGGCCGCCAACCAGCACCCAGTGAACTTTCTGACTGAAATCGTGGTACAGACTTTCCAACAGAGTGGGGCTCGGAGAGTCACCAGGACTGACAGGCTGGGCATCCAACAGAGGACAGAAGAGACGCCCGCTCGGGCTCCCAGAATCTGGGTATCCCTTGGGCATTTGCTGTGTGGTTTTGTGTGGAGATACCTATCCTTTCACCCCGACACCCCCCGTGAGGGGCACCTCGGTCAGCGTGGCCTGGCTCCCTCAGGAATCGCTGCGGGCCACCCCCGCCTGGACGCATCCTCCGCGGTGGGCACGCGAGAACTCATGGGTCCCTTTGGTCATGAAGCAGGTCGGCAGGGGCGCAGGCAGGCCCAGAGCTACAGACAGACCCTGACCACTCCCCCACCCCAGCCTCGGGGAACGTCAACTCAGAAGTTGGGGTGAAGCTCCTTCTGCACTTGTCGCTCGTGCCCGTGGCGGGGGCCACACGTGATGAGTCCCACAGGCTGACCTGGCCCTCAGTCCCCGCCCTGCTTCCCTCCCCCCGGCTGACGGGCAGGAGTTTGGCAGCAGCTTTGCCCTGGCAGTGACCTCCATCTGGAGTCCAGGACCCATTTTTGTCCTTGTTGGGGAATTTGGCTGTCCCAGCACAGTGGGTACTGAGGGACTGTGCCCTGAATGGTCCAGTTCTCCGAAAGCCTGCTTCCACCTGCCAGAGGACACTTTCGTGAGAAAGCTGTGTCCGTCCCCCTGGCAGGGCAGGGCGCTGAACCTGCCCACCCAGCGGACCGGCCCTGCCCTCCCTGCGCTGGCTGCGGGGCTGGGCCAGTCCCAGCGGTTCCCGGGTAGAGCCTCGGGGAGCACCGCCCATGGCTGGATTAGCGTGAGGCTGTGCCTTCCTTTTTCGCAAGAAAAGCCTGCTCCCCAGGGTGGGGCGAGGGGAGCGGCTACCAGCCCTGACTGAAGGCTGCTCCTCGCACAGGCGGCCAGTCGGCATCTCTCAGCCAGGCGAGGGGAGGCGGCGGGGGAGCCGCAGGCCATCCCGGGAGAGCTGTGCACGTGGCCAGGGGCCTCCCCCCCGTGCCCACAGGGCTGCCAGCCTTGAGAGAAGCCCCAGTGGCCCTCCTCTGGTCGGGCGCGCAGGGAAGACCGTGTGCCCGCCTTAGCTGGGTGTGAGCTCTTGGGGTGGGTCCCCCGGCCTCCCCGCACCCTCCGGCCCCTGTGTGGCCTGGCTCCGGGTCCAACCCTGGCCACTTCGTGGCGTGGTTGTTGGCTGGCCAGCCGCCTCTTCACGGAGGGAAGAGACCCTGCAGGGAGGCCTTGTGCCCTTTGTTTCTGTGCGTCGCTGAGATTACTGGATGAAATCAAGATGCTTGTGCTCAAAGAAACACACTTTTCCATTCATGCACCAGTTCCCCTCATTTACTCTCTACCCCCTCTGGCTCTGGTGGGTAACCTCTCCTCGCCCAGCCCTGCTGCCATTAAAAACAATGACATCAAAGATCCCCTGATGTTAGACGTTTACTCCCTAGTATAAACTAGCTGGCAGGTCACGTCCTCTCTAAGAGAACTCAGTTTCCTGCTGACTTCTGGTCGTCCGTGTGCACCAGGTGCCCCAGCTCAGGCCCTGTACCTGTGATGTCCTCTGTGGGAAATGCTCGTCCCCTGGATGCTTGCTTCGGCCCTTCCTTGCCTCCATTGTCCTTTCAGCCTCTGCTCAGTGTCACTGTATACACTGGCCTCCTGGGCACCGTGTTCAAAACAGTAACTCATGTCTCCCTCCGCACACGCTCCACCCCGGGCCGCCTTTGACGTTTGACCACAGCCCGTGCCTGACTCACAGTATTCTCCGCCCTTTACTTGGCTATAGCCCATGTCCCCTTTTAGGCTGTGCGCTCCTGAGGGCAGGCACGCTCCTTTGTTTCACCTGCTGCTAAACCCCCAGTGCCTGCAAGTACGTGGCATCTAGCAAGCAGAAAGCGACTGTTGAATGAATAAGTGAGTGAACCGTGGATCCAAAGCCCCAGCTGGGAGTTTATCTTGCTGATGGCACAGTGCCCTTCGCAGGGGGCAACTGCTGCCCGGCCCCAGGGACAGCCCAGGGACGGGAGACTGGCTCCTCGGAGATCCTCTCTTCCCGGAGGATGCAAGCGGGCAGGGGCGGCAGCAACGTGGGCAAAGCCTGGTGCTCCGGGCCCTGTCGGAGGGCGCGCACGATGCCAGGCGGGTGGTGTGGTCTGAGGCAGACGAACCAGCACGGCCTCCCTCCCTCCTCTCCCGCGTCTGGGTGGGTTTCGCCTGGTAGGTCTCTCAGCTTTTTGAAGTCTTCCTTTTCTCATCTGAAAAAATGAAAGCAAGGGAACCTGTCTTGCTGGGTTTCTGTGGATGGTTGTGGAATGGCTGCTAGGAAGCTAGAAACACACTCCTCCTGGAGCACTTCCTGTCTGCAGGCCCCGTGGTGCCGGGGAGTGGGGTCCTGGCCTCTGACAGCCACAGCCACAAAAGGTAGGGACGTGCCCGCCATCTGCCCCACGCCTCCTACCCCGATGCTGCCCGGGCCCTCGGGAGGGAAGGCACGTGTTCCGTGGACAGTGCAACCTCGCCACCGACAGGCCCAAGTGATCTGCTCTCCTGGCTTCCGCTTGCCCACCAGGGAAACGGAGGCGCCAGCCAGGACCCGGTGGGGAAGGGCTCTGACACCGCACAGGACGCCTGCAGGCTGCCGCTGGGGTTCACAGACCCTGAGCTCTGCTGTGGGGTCCAGGGGACGCCTGGGTTGTGAAGCTGTCGGGGCCCGAGCTTGTGCGGCATCCCTGGCTGTCAGAGCTAAGGCCTCTCTCACCGTCCTCCCCTCCCTCCCGGGGGCAGTCATCGTGTGCTGTCACGGCTCCTGTCTGGTGACCGCAGACCAGGGATGGAAGGACCATGGCCTGCTGGCTGAGGAAGTCACCTACCTACCTGGGAGGTAAATATCAGTGACTTAAGACCCTGGTGTGAACTTAACTGCACCTCATCTCTCCCAGATGTTATTTATTAATTTTTTCAAATAAGAGGGAGAAAGTACTGTTTTGATCTTAAGTTAGACAAACGTTCTTCGGATGGGCCCACCTGGGGTTGACCAGGG